ATGAAAAAGGTGGGTAAGTGGATGTCGCTCTGCTGTACAGTAGGTTACAAGTGGGTCACTGTATAATGGATGGTATTAAATTTGAATTCAATGATATAATATCATTGTATAAGAAAAACGATTCTGAGCGGAGACTGTATGTCAGTCTAGGTATAAGACATAATATTATATTATAGTCTATAGTATTTAAAAAAAATTGACCTATAATAGGTACCTATAATAAATTCCAAATTAATCATATCATAATATCAATTAGGTACTTATAACGCGTTATACATCAACAAAAAACCGTGGTACTATCATAGATATATAATAGTATACTTTAGAAGTTTCAAGTACCCACGAATAATATTATACAATCACAACAAAATAACTAAAATAGTTATCCTAGGTTTTTAATATGTAATTTCGTCCAAATTTGTACTTAAAATGACTATAAAAATAAACTATGTAAATGTATATTTTAGATTTTTTGGTAACAGAATTAATTACTTATATGTAGAATCTTGTTTTAAATTTTCAATTCTTAGATACAAAAATTGAAATTTTTATAAATTTTTAACTACAAAATAATTTTTCAAATTAAAATTTGATAAATTTTGTCAAAATTTGATCTTTAAATGCTTATAAAAAAAAATTGTGACTATGTATTTTTAATATTTTTCAACTGATATTGTAACAATATATCAGGAGCTTTGTATTAAATTTATACATTTTTTGGCCCAACAGATAAAACTTTATTGATATTTATAGAAAAAAAAACTAAAAAAATTGAAAACTGAAAATGTCCGTAAACAGCTCAAAAAGAGTCAAAATATTTTCAAAATTGTATGGTGTATAGGAAATGCTAATATAAACATTCAGTCAAAATTTCATGTATCTACGGTCAAAGTTACCCCAAAAACCAAATTCCGTTTTTCCTTAATTTTTCTTTTGTTTTTCACGTCGCTTTTGAAAACTACTGGGAAATTTTTACTTTTGACCCCCCAAAGTACCAACTAGATTCACTTTCCTATCAGAAAAGTTACTGTTGAAGAAAATCGGAGCAGTTTTACTGTCCTATAAGGTGATGACAGACACAAAAATAAAAAAATAAAACACATCATTGTAAAATCAATACATTCATCGTTCCACTCAGAATCTAAAATTCAATTCCCAACAGGCTAATATTTTTTTTTTTTTTAGATGCTCGGTGATAAAGAAGTCCTGATAAGGAAATTATAAATATTATATAGAATGTAATTTTAAACAATTATTATTATAAAATATTCAACGTTGAATAACCGCTTAGTAAATAACTTATTTCCCGTTTAATTGTAAACTAAAATTATACAATTTAAACAACGCTGAATCAATGTAAAACAAACCAAACTGAAAATAAACTCAGAATCCACCGTAGATTTAGTGTTTATAAATGTATAATCCACTATAGTGCACACTGGGCGGTGACGGCGACGATATCATTCGATATTTTTCAAAGGCACCATAAATAAATAATATAATATAATATATAAGATAATTAAAAAAAAAAACATATACGTCAATATAATACAATTTAGAAAAAATTACAAGTCAATACTCAATATAATACAATTTAAAAAAAACATATACGTCAATATAATACAATTTAAAAAAAATTTACAGGTCAATATAATACAATTTAAAAATTTACACAATATAAAAGTTAATCAGATTCAATCTCGGAAGATTCGTCTGATGTTGTATCTCCGATTGTCATTACCACCGGTTCCACCTCTGCCGACAATACGTCATCTACGATGAAGTCGATTTCCCAAAATTTATCTTCTTCTTTTTTCGTGTGGCTAATAAAATTCTTCCACATGTCAGCATTCACACGCTCGACGCCCTCGATCAATAATTTTTTTACATCGGGTAATTTGTAGGTTTTATTGTTCATTTTGACGTAGTTTTTAACCGATGACCATGCCAGTTCAATCGGGTTAAGCTCGCAATGATATGGAGGAAGTCGAAGTATAACCCGATTATGTTTTTTTGCCAGTTCATCAACTGCGTACTTTTGATGTTGTGGTTTGATCCTTTTCACAATTTCCAGAAGTTGTTGAATAACCATGTGTCTGTCTATAATTTCGCCTTTATCTACCAACCATTTTATAATATCATCCTTTTTATTTTGCGACGTAGGTGCTTTATCTATCTTCACAGAATGATATGAGGCATTGTCCATGATTATAACACTGTTCTCTTTTAATCGAGGCAGTACACCCTCCATCCATTCATAAAATGTCTCCCCGTTCATTTCGTCATGATAATCTCTGGTATTTTTTTTTGACTCGAAACACAATAGTGCGCCGGGAACAAAGCCGTCTTCTGACCCTATATGCAATACAATAAGGCGTTTGCCTTTTCCTGTTGGATTTACGGCACCAGTTGTTAGGCCTTGTAAAAACGCGTCTCGGGGTGATTTAATTGTTGTATCGATCCACGTTTTACTTGTACATTCACCAGCATTTACCCAGGTCTCGTCGAGATAATACAAATGTCGACCCTCATCTCGGTATTTTCGCAATTGTTCGAGATACCGTCTACGCCACAACACTATTTCAGTTTTTTCAGTCAACGCACTATTTCGACTGCGTTTACTGTACCTAAATTCCATATCCTTCAAGAGTCTAAAAAGATTTGTCCTTGAAATATTCGGTAAGGAGTCGTCATCGGAAACTGCTTTATGTATTTTGTCAACCGTAGGAATTTCGCGTTTAAACCAAAAACTGTGCACATGTCTACGAACCACATTTCTCTCAAACTCTTCATAATATGTATCGCGGAAGGATGTTTTGATACGAGTTTTACTAGGAGATATTACCGTTTTTGAATTGTTGTACTCCGTAATTGTTGTGGAAATTGTTGTTGCTCCAATGCCCAATTCTTTTGATAACTCTTGCCGGATTGTTCGTAACGACTTTGTTGAATCTGACTCCAATTTTGATTTGTATGCATTTATGATCATTTGTCTCTTACCAGAATCTACTCGCTGAAATTGTAACATTTTATTATTATAATATTGTATAAAAAATATTCATTCAATGCTTAAAAAAAATTCATAAAAATTACAAAATATATTTTTTTCTTACCTTTCCTTTCGAATTTCTTTTTACTGGAGACCGGCCTACAGGTTGTTTTTGATCCATAGTAATTAAAAAATTACAAAACAAACAAAAAAAGGTAATATTTCGCTAAGGAATGTAACTATCAACAAAAATGTGTGGTGATCGCAAAAGTAAACGTATACGCGCAAGTGAAATCAAACAAGTGACACCGTGTTAATACAACACACTCCGTAGACAGATGCGAACAACACCAACGCTCGCGGCGCTGCGGCGGCCGTGCCTGGTTTTATAGTGGGGATGCGCGAACAAGACGAGTTTTTGTCGACCGAGTGGTTCATTCTTAGATGGAATAGAGTATAGTAACGTGTAAATTACTGCTGTGACGAAGTGATAGTGATAGTGATAGTATGATAAGTGATAACAAATAACTGTCTATTTTTTATATTACCTATCTTTACGCACGGCTTTAGACTATTTTACTGTAAAACTTTGAGAGTAGCATTATTTTTATTGAACGGGATGTTAAAATCTTTACAGTGTGTGAAATACTGTACGTATAAGTTAAAACATTTCAGTCTATAGTTCTGACAACGATTAAATTGATATTTTCTAATCATCATACTCATCTGACTATCAAGAGTAAGTACATATTTTTAATTACCTAATCAAGTTGCATGGTGTTGTGCAGCGTCAAATCTAAATTATGCGAAGCTGTGAGCTCGAGCTATGATAATCAGTCCCTTATTTTATATTATTATACAAAATATCTATAGTACCTAAGCATTATAATTTTTATTTGTTGAAAACAGTAAATTATGCAAAGTATCAAACACCGCTTTAACTTTGTAATGTATTATGTGTATATCGCGCTTAATGCTTATTAGTTATTTCTTTTTATTTTGCTGAATGGTTAATGGTATTTAGATAACTAAAAATTGCAAAAAGCAGCTTAGTGGTGCAGAGAATCGTAAAAAGGCAAAAATTAAAGCAATTAAAACTGCAAATGTTTTGTCAGAAGTTTCCAAGCTCAATGCTTATTTTAATGTTAACAACACAGAGAACACATCAAGTATTAATATTTATTATACCTATATAAATTATTTATCATTTTCATTTCATACTAGGTAACTATTGTATTTTGATTTATATATAACTAGACATTGATAAAAAATCCGTTGTTGATGAAAATAGTGATGACGTTCTTGTTAACTGTAGTGCAAGTGCTGAACAGTCTAGAACCGATGTTTCTATAAATGAAGTTGAGAAAGAAAAATTTGAAACAAATTTAAGTTCTTTAAGGTAAACTTCTATGTACCGGATGTTTATTTCTGGTATATCTCAATGTACCTAATAGTTATATGGTATATAATGTAGTGTCATAACATTCAATATCTATAATCTTTTCATAGTAATGACTCTATTTGTTCTTTGCACAAATCCACTGTTGATGATAGTACATATGCTGAGAAGACTGAGACCCAACCTGTGACCCCTAACTTCAGAATAAATGAAAAACTGCTATTCCCATTAAGTTTATCCAAAATAGTTGTACCTATATATTTATATTTATATGTTTCTGATATTATTATTTTGTAGATCATAAGTCATCAATATATTAAATATTATAATGATTATTTTGTTTATTTTATTTAGTAAAGATCCATTGTGGAATATAAATGAAAGTACCATAGATTATTTTTCACTTAATGGTTTTGTTCAAAACTTAAAAAATATAAAATTTTCTTCTTCAAAGAAACTATATATTAAAAATATTCGTAGTAAACAGCAATCATGCTTCAGGTACTTTAATCCAAATTTAATCAAACCAAAGCTTGTTAATGGAGAATCTGTAAATCGTAAGTTTGTTGTTTACTCTGAAAGTAAGGGTTGCATATGTTGTGAAGTCCAAACAGAAACAAATTATTGGAAAGAAGTTTTAACCCGAGTTGCAGCTGTTGTGAAGTCACTAAGTTCTCGGGGACTAGCAATGAGAGGCCTTGAGGATAAATTCGGGTCAACTCATAGTGGTAACTTTGTTATGAGCTTAGAACTCATTGCTGAGTTTGATTCCTTCCTTAAAAATCATATATCAACATTTGGAAACAAAGGGAAAGGAACAACATCATATTTATCTTTTACAGTATTTGAACAGTTGATAGAAATTATGGGTGAAAAAGTAAAGAAAACAATTGTTAATGAGATAAAAAATGCAAAGTATTTCTCAATTATTGTTGGTTCAACAGCGGATATTTCTCATACAGACCAACTAGCATTTATTTTTAGATATGTAACAAATAATGGTGAACCAGTTGAACGATTTTTGCAATTTTTGGCAAACCCAGGACACAAGTCTAAAGATTTAGCAGATGCTGTTTTTATGGTTTTAGGAGAAAATGAAATATATATTAATAACTGCCGTGGACATTCTTACGATAACGCTTTCAACATGTCAGGAATATATTCTGGACTCCAAGCAAGAATCAAAGAAGCATGCCTCCATGCTGTTTACATTCCATGTGCAGCACATTCACTAACTAGGTTCAATGAATGTGCTGCTAATTGCTGTTTAAATGCTAATGAATTTTTTTATTTTCTTCAGAATATTTATTCTTTTTTTTCTGCATCTACCTATCGTTAGGACGTGTTGGATCAATGCTTATCTAAACCTGATAATGTAACTGTTAAAAGATTATCTGATACCCGATGGGCGGCTAGATATGAGGCTTGTTTAAGTTTATCACGTAATTGGAATGACATTTTGAAGGCATTAAATATTTTCATTAATAATCCAACTGAAAATTCAAAAACTAAATGTGAGTGTAATGGACTATTGAAAAAGATGAAAAGTTTAGAAATGGGTATTCTGGTATCAGTATGGAATGATATTTTAGAGAGGTTCAATATTGTAAGTAAGAAATTGCAGAATGTTCATATTGATTTGACTATTGTCATAACCCTATATAAATCATTGATAAATTATATAATGGATATGAGAAACAGATTTTCACATTATGAAAAACTTGGCATAAAAAAAACTGGAACTATAGAATATAAAGATTCTCGCATAAAAAAAAAGGAAAACGCCTTTAGATGAATCATCTCAAGGCGATACAACATTTGTTAGTAAAAAATCTTTTGAAATTAATACTTTTTTATAATAATAGATTCTTTACTTACAGAGTTGAGAAAGCGTATTAACTCTTATAAACAAATTAATACTTCATTTGGATTTTCGTTCAACATTACTGAGTTGTCAGTGTTAGAAATAAGACAGCAAGCTGGAGTTTTACAAAAAAAATATACTCAAGATCTTGACATATCGTTTATGAATGAATGTATTCATTTTCGTGGTTACTTAAAAGGATTACCAGAAAGCGTATCCAAAAAATCGGTGCTATATTTGTGTCAAGTCATGAAAGATGATAATTTACTAGATATTTACCCATACGTTAATATTGCATTGCGAATGTTTTTGTGTGTTCTTACATCAAACACTTCGGCCGAGCGTTCATTCAGTACTCTTAAAAGAGTTAAATCATATCTAAGGTCTTCGATGAATGATAATCGTTTAAACTCTTTGGCGATTCTGAATATTGAATCTCAGTTGATAACTTCATTAAACTATGATGAATGAAGATTTTGCAAGATCAAAAGCGTGACGAAAGGTATTAATTTAATGATGTTTGCTGACTTGTTGATATTTTGTAAATGTAAGTAGTAAGTGGGTCACTCCAGCACACTTTGTTATAATTATCACAAATAGATCACAAAAATAAAATTAAACATAAATAGATCAGTAAAATAACTTTAAACATAAATAGATCAGTAAAATAACTTTAAACATAAAAATATCACAAAAATAACTTTAAACACAAATAGATCACATAATGAAATAAAATCCTCAGATGCAAAATATTTCAAAAGAAATTGAATATCTTATTTAAAAAAAAATTATTATTATTATAATAAACAATGGCACATTTAAATTCTATAAGAATATTAGAAAATATGAAAGTCTCTGAGCTTAAGTCAATAGCAAAAGAGAATAAACTTAAGGGATATAGTAGCCTTAAAAAAAATGATCTTATATTGAGGGGTTGAGCGCAATAGTGGCCTAACCCACAAAATGATATAATATTGTTCAGAATTAAAAATATTCTAATGCAACAACGGCCTATTTACGATTTTCTTAACTAGATGGCAGCACTACACACGTTGTTGCATTAAGATATTTTATGTTTTGTGATAAAGCAACAATGACCTATTCAACTGTATGTGGAATAGGCCACTGTTGTTATCATAACATTATAGTCACATTGTTTGATAAGCCATTGTGGTATCATAATAAATAATAATTATTCGTGTTATCGTAATTAATAATCTAGTTAGAGTTACCTACATTTTTTTAAGTGTGAGTCCGTTCAAGATTAAAGAGCAACCTTCACAATGTCTAAAGGTAATAAAATATTATTGAATGTACTGTTCATAAAAATAATACAATAATGTTAATATTAAAACTTAACAGATCTAAATATTCAATTCACCGATTCCAAAGATGAATATTCGTCAACATCATATGTGCCATCGTAATCAAATGACACAAGTTCTGAAAGTGAGATTCAAGCTGATGATGTACAAAATGAACCTAGTGATGGCGAAAACAAAGGCCGGAAAAGACTTAAAAACGAAACCAAATGGAAAAGAAATATAAGAAAATCGTTAAGAAATTCAGGTAAACAATATATTAGCAGTAGGGGTAAAATAATTCCAGCAAAACAATATAAAGATATGCAGTGCTTATGTAATGAAAAATGTCACGATTTACTTACATTTGATCAAAAAAAAAAATATTTGGTTCATACTACTCCTTAGGAAGTCACGATCTACAAACTTCATATCTATGTAATCTCATCAATGTTATTAAAAAAAAAAGAATTTATGTTAAGAATGGTAGTGATTCACGTAAAGAGTTTAGTCGTATATATTATTTGCCATTAGAGACGGGCATTACTATAAAAGTATGTAAAGATTTTTTTTAAAAAATCATTTAACATATCAGATGGTCGTATTACTAGAGCCTTAGTTGGTAAACTTGAAGGAACTACTCCACCTTTGGATCACCGTGGTAGAGGAGATGCTGTGAATAAAGTTCCTATTGATAAAATTTCTGAAGTTAGAGAATTCATTAAGAAATTTCCAACTTCTACATCGCATTACTCTAAAAATGATAATAATATGAACAAGAACTATTTAAGTCCTAATTTAAATATTTCTATTATGTACAATCTGTACAAACAAGAAAATAATGAACCAGTTTCTATGTTTACATTTAGAAAAACATTTAACAGAGATTTTAATTTATCGTTTCATCCACCTGTCTCAGACAGTTGTAAAAGGTGTGACATGTATAAAAACCAAATTAAAGTAGCTTCTGAAAATGAAAAAATACAATTAAATGCTGACCATGAGTTACACCTTAGAAAAGCAGAATCAGCTCGGAATGGAATGAATAATGATGTAGAATTATGTAAAACTGATCCTAATAAAGTCACTGTTATAGCTTTTGATCTAATGAAAACTCTCTCTACTCCATCCCTTTCTGTTGGAGTGGCTTATTATAAAAGACAGTTAAGTACATACAATTTAGGTATACATAATTTAACTACGAACGATGCTTATATGTATGTCTGGAATGAATCCATGGCATCACGCGGACCACAAGAAATTGGATCATGCTTGTTACATTTCATAAAAAACTATGTACATACAGAACAACTTATTATGTATAGTGATCAATGCGGAGGACAAAACCGGAATATAAATATGGCCTTAATTTGCAATTTTGTAGTTGGCTCAAATGACTATTTACCCACTGAAATACATCATAAGTTTCTATTTCAGGACACTCTTACTTAGCCTGTGATAGGGAGTTTGGAGTGATTGAAAAAGAAAAAAGGTATCACTCTGAAATTTATGTACCAAATGACTGGATAAAAGTTATTGAAAGTGCTCGAAAAAGATATTACCAATAGAAAAGTTAATTCTGATGGAGAAAAAGTAGAATGGATGAAAATGCAATGGTTGTACTTTGTAAAAGATAAACCTTACAAAATGTTTTTTAAATATTCTAACAATGAGTTTGTTACATTTATTTCTGTCAATTTTTCCAAACGTTTGATGGCAAAACCAAAAGAATTAGAATAACTTTATCCCAATGGGCTGGCAATTAGTAATGAAAAATATAATGACCTCATGGAATTATTACAGTTTATTCCTCCAATACATCATGAATTCTATAAAAATCTAAAAAAAAAATAATATTGTTACTTTTTTAAAAATGTATTTTTAGACTATTATTAATTTGAACTTTTTTTATGTACTTGGTAATTCAAAAATATAAGTCATATTAATTTTATAAGTGTTTTTTAACAATTAATAAGTAATTTTTAAGAATGTTGTGATTTTACAGTTGTAATAAAACTATTAAAAGGCTGAATTGTTTTTTTTTCATATTATAATATTAACAGAAGTTATTTTTATTTGTTAATCATAATTTTTAAAGTTTTTGTTAACTATTAATAACTCATTTTTAAGAACGTTGTGATTTTACAGTTGTAATAAAAATATTAAAAGGTTGAATTGTTTTTTTTTGTTATAAGTCATATTTTTTAAAGTGATACTAAAATTAAGTTACTATTATTTAATTTAAAAAAATATTGTGATTTTATTTTAAAACAATAAAAAAATATACATTGTTTATTATTTATTAGATACCTATTTGTAATAACATATTATTTTGACAAAAGGTTCAAATTGCATTATATTATTATAGATTGTAATTATTTTTATTACAATATCAGCTGGCCTAAGAACATGTTATGTGGTAAAATATAACTATGCATGAGCGCAAAAGTGGCCTATCCAACAAAAATTTGGGGAATTTTGTATGTTTTGTTCCCAAATAACTCCTAGAATTATGTCTTAGATGTATTAATATTTAATATGAAACAATAGTTAAATTTAATTCATTTTTAAATATTGATTTTTTTAATCAAATTTTCAGAGAAATTGAAAACGTGTATTACTCACATTAACCATTTGATGGAATAGGCCACTATTGCGCTCAACCCCTCAATTATCAAGAATTAGGAAAGGTCATACAATTCGTGATTTAAAAATTTCTAAGTTTAGATCACCACTTACTGCATTATGAGGTGTAGCTCCTTTCAAATAGGCAGGACTGAATATTTTTGCTACATCATATTGATTTATAATGCGGCCAGAGTAATTTTTTGAAAAATATTTACTTCTTGTTCGTAAAACCATTTTATTGGCCCAAACACAGAAACATCCAGTGGTTGGATTTTGTGAGTTGTATGTGGAGCAAATGAAACAAATATAATATTATTATCAGTTGCATATTTTAATGCTGGATAGTATTTGTGTGATTCATGATTATCCAATACTAAAATTATTTTTTTTATCTGGAGTAGGGTGAACAACTTCAACAAAAAATTTAAGCCATATTAAAAATATATCACCATTAGTCCACCCATTTGACGAACAATAACCTTTAGAGCCAGGAATCGCATCATCTAATAATCTTTCTTGCATTCTTTCTCTTGCAAATATAAAAAAAGGAGGTATAAATGAGCCAGCCGCATTACAACAACAAATTACAGTTGTTAACTTTCCCCTCTCAGCACTTGAAATAATACCTACTTGTTTTTTTCCACACACTGAAAGTATTTTGGGAGGTTTGTTAGTAGTAGTGGATATTCCTGTTTCATCCATGTTATATACTCTAGTAGCATCAATATTAAATTTTTGATATTGTTCATCTAGAAGATTAAAAAACCGTTCAACTTGAGGGCGATTGAAACCACTGGCGCGAGCCTCAGATGTAGGTTCTGGAGTCCTAAGCACAATACTTGGATTTCTTTTTAAAAAACATACTAACCAATCACTTCCAGCTGATTTGTTTTTATCCCAACTATTAGGATATTGTATATTATTTAATTTGGCAAATGAATACACAAGATTTTTAAAATCATACCTAGTCAGCCCATAAAACACTGCATCCATTTCTTTTAAATATTCAACAAGTTCTTTCTCGTGTGTAATTGAAAATATAGGTCGAAATCGTCCCAGTTGTTAATCATTTCGTCCCGACTTAAGTCGTCTGTATAATGTTGTAAACGGAATATTGTACAAAGATGCAGCAGTTGATATCTCTGTACCATTCCTACATTCATAGATTGCCATATTTAAATTTTCCTGCGACCAACTACCCTGGTTTGTTTTTCTTTTATAGTTAGACACCATCTAAATAAAATAAAATAATATTATATGTGTTTGAAACATTTATATGAGTATGTGGGAAAAGTGGATATATCCACTTTGCACGGATTGATTTTTTCTTAAATACATTTTTTTTTTTTAGTATACACCATTTAAGAACACGTGTTTGATAACTATATAAACTTAGTATAATTATGAACATAATAAAATACGTTTAAAAAAGTTAATTTACAAACATTATTTAAAAAAGCTTATATTCTTACATTGTATTTTTTTTAAGAAATCGAACTAATTTCGGATAAACGTTTTTATAGTGATTGTACACTAGTAATGATATCAAATCATTATCCCGGAGTCGACGATGGCCAGTGCTGCCAACTTATAACCTCGGTAATATTTAATCACCGATATTCAAAAAGTTATTAACATTATTCACTTTGCCCAGCTATCCGCTTCACCAGTCTCCCCTACACACCAATATACATTCAAATACATAAAGCCAATTATACAATATAGTAGGTTTTATAAGTACTTATAGGTTTTAATTATGTTTATATAAGTTAGTTATAAATTTATTAATTTGATTTAATAATCATAATTAAAGAAATTTACATGACATTAGTATGTGTTATTATTACAGACACAGAATTTAGAATTTCTTAAACGTAGAATTTAGTTACAGCAGTACTCACAGTATACCTCAATGTAGATATACAGCTTGTGTAAAAAGAATAGCTATGAATATCAATTAATACTTTATGTTTTATTTATTATAATTTTTTCACAATTTTATGATTTATTGCCTTATTTATATTGATTTAAACTTAATAGAGAATTAATAATTATTCAATAATAATATCACATAACAGCATAGTGTGTTGTAGGTCTCCCTCGTTATGGTTTTTTTTTTCCAAAACCGTCGAAATTTTCCCTTTTCGCCTCCCGTTCGCGCTCCCGTCGCGTTTCTCACGAGTTTTCCCGGTCGGTAGAATCGGGTTTCCCTCCGTTTGCCGTCCGCGGGATCCGACACTTTGATCGCAAGAATTGCCGCCGTCGCGCGTTTTTCTAGATATATATGTATATGTCGTTTTAAACGGCTTATGAATTATGATCGAATACCTTTAGGTTTTAACGTAGCAATCGATTCGTTTATGATTTATATATGCGATATTAATCGTGACATTACTGCGGCAGTTCAAAATGACTGAATAAATTGTATTCAAAATGTATATATATATATATACATATGGATATGATGAGTGAGGATTTTAATGAAACAGCCGCTCGGTCGAACAGTACGTTGCTCGTGTGGGTTATTAGATATTTAATTTAGCAAACAGATGTAATATTTTTTGAATGTTGTATTGTATTAAACGATATGTGTTATTTATTTGTGAAAAATAATCTACACATACTTCTGTTAAATTAAATCGAATTAATTATTGGTATGCGTTGAATCAAATAGACCCATAAAAATAAACACATAGAAAAGAAATCACCAAGGCAAAAAAACCCACAGAAAAAAAAGCCCTCCAAAAAAATTAAAATTAAAAATAAATGTTAATACATCTATATTTAATATAATTATTATATAATATTTTTTTATTTAATCTAGTTTATAGTATCTTGAGGGAAGAAACAACCAGCGAAGGCACTTTGGGAAATTATATAATTATATTAATATAATATAAATATAAGTTTGGAAAATAATATGAGTGTTTATTATTTGTTCAAGTTTAATCTTATATTACAATGGTTTTATACAAGGGGAATGGAATCACAATACAACCAATTATTTTTTATTACACATTTACTGAAAATCATTTTGACATTTAATTTAATTTATATTTTTGATACCCTTATACTAGTGAATGAAGTAAGTAAATTGAACTTTGCTTAAACCAGTCAAAATATTAGTTGGGTAATAAAATTGAAATTTATTGACAAATGACAGGTATTTGTATCCATCCAGATAGGTACTAACAAAATAATAATATGTAGTATTCCATTAGTATACACTTGGTTGTTGGCTGTAATTGTTGTACCTACACGTCCTACACCCAAGTTATGGAGATTATAACGTCAAATAAAGGTTGTGAGAAGTTGTGTTACAATGGGTACATGTATGTTTTAAAGCATTTTGGTAAATCTAAAATAACATAGAGGTGTTCAAAAAGGTCCTCCTTTAAATGTATGGAAGAATTATATACTAACATTCAAAAAGAAGACCCTGTATTGATTGAAGTCAGATCATAACCACTTCGGAGATAGTGAAAAGATAGATGTGGAAAAAGCACTATGCATAATGAAAGAACAATCAAAAAGTGGTTATCTAAGCCACTAGAAGTATATGCAGAAGGAGTTGCTAAGTTGGACGGTAACATAAAATCAAAAATGCCAGTGGAAGATGATGTGAAAAGACCTTTGAGAAATCAACGTTCAAAATTAAATCCAATTGAACCAACTAGTCTTGACAATTTGATCATTGATGGTGCGTACCTAAATTAAATTAATAATTATTATTTATTAATATTACGATTGTATTTAAAATTCATGTTCAACAGATGAGTGGTGCACTACAGGTCATCCTGAGTATGAAAATCTTTTAATTTTTGACAATGGCGTTGTTTCTGGACAAAGGATTTTGATTTTCGGCACTGTAGAAGGTATGAACAATTTATCAAAATCCAGTACTTGGTATTTAGATGGTAATTTTTCACTAGCACCAAAATTATTTTTGCAATTGTATGTCATCCGAGTGGTTGTATATGGTATATTTACATCTGCAATTTATTGCCTATTACAAAGAAAAACATATGAGACTTATAAACTATTATTTAAATCATTTATTGAAAAGTGTGCAGAAAAAAATCTTTACCTAGATCCAAAATATGTCCACTTAGATTTTGAAAAGGCAGCAATTAAAGCTGTGCATAAAATATTTAACAGACGTGGGTGCTTCTATCATTTATCACAATCAATTCACAGAAAAGTATAATCTTTAGGACTAGAACAATTATACCGTGAAGACTCTAACTTTAATAAATTCTGTGGAATGTTAGATGGCTTGGCATTCTTACCTCTGACAGATGTTGAGCAGGGAATGTTATATTTGAAATCTATTATGCCTGATACTGCCCTAGATTTAGTCGATTATTTTGATTCCACATATGTAACTGGCACTTTCAAGCGAATAAATTGTACGGCAAATAATATAAAATTTAAAAAAGTTCAACCAAGATTTCTTCCAAGTGTCTGGAATGTCCACGACGCAACATTGAACGATGACCACAGGACAAGTAACTAGACTGAGGGATGGAATCATAGATTCTCCAATCTAATAGGTCATAACCATCCATCTATATGGACATTGATAAAAAAAATTAGATTAGAAGTTGCTGTAGATGATACTAAATTAAGGCAGTATAATTTAGGATGCATACAATCAATAAAAAAAAGAAAAATAACGGTAAAAAGTCAAACAACATTAAAACGGCTCTGACAATTGACAATTTTTTAGAAGCTATTTCATATAACACACGAATAAAGCACGATTAACTTTATGTATACTATAATTTTTGCGACTATTGCGATTATTATTTTATTTTATTATTTTATTTTATTTATTTGTATAAACGCCAAACGGCTTTTTACATATAGCAATAACGATATTACATAAATTAACGTTAGTGATAAGAATAAAATACATAAATGATAATGTTAAACAATATACTAAGAAATAATAATAATAATAATTATAATAGGAAAATTACACACATTAGGTGAATACGAAATTTAAGGCCATATATCAAAATTATTATTATTTAAATTGCGCATAGCTCTAACCAAAAGATCATTAGATAAAAAGTTTGAACGGGAAGTTGGGATGTGAAAGGAATCGGTTGATCTGGTATTGGTGGTAGGAACTCTAAAGCTAATACGCTCAAGGAGACTTGGAGCATCAATTTTACCCTGGATTAATTTTAAAAGGAAGTTACGATCCGCAATTAGTCACCTGTCCTCGAGGGAGGGGAGATTAAGCGCGCCCATGACAGGTTGGTATGAATGTTGGGGGTGTTCAATTTTTAATAAGAAGCCTGCATAGCTTAGGAATCTAGTCTGGACTCGTTCAATAAGTTTTATTTCCGTTTTAAGATGAGGATTCCAAATGATTGACCCATAGTCGAGAATTGAACGAATAAGATCAGAATAAAGGGTTATAATGCAAGGTGCTGAGTTGAAGTGTTTAGTGTGGCGGCGAACGAATTCCAGAAGACGTAAGGCCTTACAAGTGATATATTCAATATGAGGTCTGAAGGAAAGTGAGGAAGTATATATTATACCTAGATCCTTTACTTCAGACACTCGAGTTAGGGGTGAGTCATTATAAGTATATACGTGATCCACTGGAATCCGTGATCTGGAGAATGATATGATTTTACATTTATCAAAGTTTAGGGCAAGGCCGACAGCCTGACACCAGTTAATAAAATTATTGAATGATGATTGAAGGACGTCACAATCTGTACTGGAAGATATCCTGGAGAACAGCTTAGCATCATCAGCAAAAAGAAGTGAACGGACCGACGGGACATTGCTAAATATTGAATTAACCAAAATATTAAATAGTAATGGAGATAAATGTCCACCTTGCGGAACGCCAAAAGAAACCTTAAATTTACTTGATGAGATATTGAACAACTTAACATATTGCCATCTATAAACTAGGTATGAGCGAATCCATGATAAAAGAGGAAAACCTATTCCCAGTTTATCCAAAGTGT